GCCCTGTTGCCATAGAAACTTGCCGGGGGAATGAGGGGCGGCTTCCTCACTGCCCCCCTTGATGGGGATCGCGGGGAGGGGGGAGCTACCGATGGGTTTGGGGCTGTAACGCCCCTGCTGCAGTTATTGTTGGAGGGCCTCAACTAGTGTTTCTCAATCTCAGCCACTTTAAGACGTATGGACTTCAACTGCCAGAATTCCCCATGCTGGCTGGGGAATTCTGGGAGTTGAAGTCCATTCGTCTTAAAGTGGCTGAGATTGAGAAACACTGGCCTAAACCAAGCCGGACGACAGTTAGATGGCAGCAGAAATTAGGGGTTTTTTTTGCAGCCCTGATGTGGGAGGCTTAGCTGTTGGCCCTGCTGGCTGCTGAGTCTGGATTTTGCTGCCTGTGTCCTACGCCAGACTAAACTTTCTTCTTACCACGTTCTGTTGAGTGCGCATGATGGTTGCAGTGGCCCCACATCCTGTACTGAAACAAAATGACAGGTTTATCTTTTACATGCTGTCAGTTACGGTGTATGGAGTAGACTGTGTTTCAGCAAGCCATAGTTTGACATACTGTGCGGGCTCAGGCAGGCGAAGGTGGGCAGGCAACCTGTGGATGTGCAAGGGCAGGACTTTTTGGGGTCCTGAGTGCTGCTGAACAGCTGGAGTTACATCATGCGAGCAGGTGGGGCTGTTTTGGGGAGTGGGCTTTGGGGGAGGTGTCTTTGTTTTTTCAAACTCTGATAGGCCTCATTTGGGGCTTACAGGACTTTTCTCCTTTTGAACTCTGCTTTCTGTGTTTAGTAGTCCTGGACTGAAAGGAAAGCTGGCAACATAATGTGGTTTGGAAATGGCGTCTTTTTTTACTGTATAGCTGAAAGTAGGTTGATGAACAGTTGCTGCTTATAACGAATACAGTTAAAGCAGATCGTGGCGGCTGTGGTTTTCCTGATACTGCATGTATCCCTGGCCAGTTGTGAGATGCTAGGAGAACATAACGTTTGAAGGACCAGAGTTTCCTATCCCTGTTTGAAGAATTGCTGTTGGTGCTACCTAGATGTATCTCACTTTTGCTTTAAATAAAATAAACATTTGCGTTTTTTTTAGATGGCCACCCAACTTGTTTATTCAGGGGAAAGCTAAGTGCATCTCTGTTTATATGCATGTCATAGCAAAGCAGCTTTTCAAACAGCCTTCGTTTCTTTCAAATTTTTCACCTCTGTGTGGGCATTACTTTCATACATGTATCAGTTATACTAATGTTGGGTTATAAGGTATAATAAGTTAATGACACCTGCTAATTTGACAGATATTTTCCTGCTTTTCTTATGAATAGATTTTAGTACAGTATTAGTATTGATCAATTCAGTTGGCCTGAATGTTATTGCTATTTTAGGAATATGTTAATTTTTCTATCTGAAGCGTTGCTATGCTGTTGGTTTTAGTCATTTGCTTTGTTGCTTGTTTTCTACTATTAAGAGGGTCACTGCATTTTGCTTTTGTTTTGTGACAAAGGTTGTATAGTTTTAAAAATACAAATGCTTCTGAAAAACTGCTTTTGAAAAACATTAAATTGAGAATCTTACTGGCCAAAATATTTTTCTTCTGTTTTTCTTTCAGAAATGACCAACTTTGGCCATGAATAGAGCTCTGATAAGGTGGCTGGGCCAGTATCTGCCATGGCATCAGAACTCTGTAAAACAATATCGGAGGCAAAGCTAGAAAGGCACAAGAATTTATTCTTGAACTATCGAAATCTTCATCATTTTCCTTTAGAGTTACTAAAGGATGAAGGTCTGCAGTACTTGGAGAGACTGTATATGAAAAGAAATTCCTTGACTACCTTGGTATGTCATTTAATTGTTTAATCAGCAAAATATTTGTTACTGTGTTGAATAGAATTTGTGTTTTGGAGTATCAGTTACTCCTTATGTTGGGCAAAAAAGGGTCTCTATTAGCCCTTTGAGGTAGGCCAAGTCAGGAAACAAACACTGCAACGATTATAGGAATGCCACTTTATTGTTGTAGAGTATAATAACAGAACCTGCTGATTAGATGGTTTTGATAGCATTTTAAAAAGTAGATCTGAGGTAGGCATTGTGGACCTGTTCCCACTCCCTTAACCTTGATCAAATAAACGAACTTTATATTCTTTCCTTTTACTTCTAAGAGCCTTAATCTTTAGACCATTCAAATAATGTCATAGAATTTGATTTCTTTTCCTTTCTTCTTTGTCCCTTCTCACAAGATTCTTCAAAGCTTTAACAAGCCTCTTTTGTAAATCCAATATAAAAAAATATCCAGGTCACTCTCTTGGTTTATCATTTGTTTTTCCCTTTTGATTTTTAAAAATCAACCGGTTTCTTCTGTATGTCCAGTGAGACATCCTTTTCCATGCCATTCTCGTAGGCTGTCATTTGTATATTCACTTTCAGTGCCATCTCTGTCTTATCAAACTGTGATAGAATGGTTTGGTGAAGGCCGCGCTCGGGGAGATAAGCATTGCCTTAGTCCCCAGCAGGAGCGTGGGAAGGTTAAGAAGATGAGACTGGCACTACCCTAAGGAATTCGCGGGGCTTTGCTTGCAGGCTTGAGAAGTTTAGATTCAGTCTGGCAGGATTCTGCCTTGTGTTTGGAAGCTAATAAAAGCTATCGAACTAAACCTGTACTGTCTCGTGGAGTTCTTTGGGCTGAACCTGACACAAACAAACTTGTTATGGAAGAAATGGCAGATGAGGAACATCTTTTGGACACAGTCTATCCATAACAAGCAAATATTGACATTGTTGAGATTAACTTCTGATTCCATTTTTCAAAATTGTCCTTCAGTATTTTCAATGTTATACTGTAATGTTTTGTGTCACTTTATAAGTCCCAGTTAATTAGCTGTTAATTAGGCTTGTGTATTTTTCTCCTTTAACTAAAATCTTTAGTTCCCTCTAGTGTCCAATTTTTAAAATTACTTATTTTTATTTTGTCTTGCAAAAGTCCAAATAAATCTATTTCCCACGGGAAGGATTCTTTATAATTGATTCCAAAATCTTATTCCAAATTTATCTGGGCCCTTAATCCATTTATAACTTTCTAATATCAAAGGATTGAAGGCAAAAGGAGAAGAGGACGGCAGAGGATGAGATTGTTAGATAGCATTACTGAAGCAATGAGCATGAAAATGAGCAAACTCAGGGAGGCAGTGAAGGACAGGAAGGCCTAGCGCGATATGGTTCATGGGGTCACGGAGAGTTGGACACAACTTAATGACTGAACAACAACAATATCAAAGTCTTATTTAGCTTTTTGCTGTTTATTTCAATTTTTTAAAATTCTTAAGCTTATGATTAAAATTTTCATTCATTACGGATTGAAGGCAGACTCACTGGCGTTTTCAGACTTGTCACTCCAAAGATCTCTAATAGCTTCAAAGTAGTTAACAAGCAATTTCCAAATGTGATTAGAAAAGGAAGTTTGCAAACTTGTCCTTTAAAAAGCCAACCACAGTCATGAGCAAGATGGTTATTCCCATCATCTCCCAGGGCTCAAAACCTGCTGGGGACCACTGCCTTGCTATCTCCTCATGAGGAGCAACCGTTTGGAGCGCATGTGGACAATTTCCTGTTCTCTCCTTGTCCAGAGAGGTTCTGAAGAGCTGGTCTACTCACTGGCTCTTTATTCTTCGCTGCTGTTATCTTCAGTTCACTGTTTCTTCCTCCGGAAGTCCAACAATCAAAAAAATTACAATCAAATCAGTAAAGCAACAGTTCTTAGAGTGTCGTCTGGGGTCCCCTGTGGGTTCTCGATACCCATTCAGGTGGTCTGCGAAGTCAAATAAATATCTTAACATTTCTCAGTTTTAATTTCTAAAACTGTACATATTGATATATATAACCCACATAAACCAAAGCTCTTTGGGGTCTTCAATCATTTTTTTAGAATGTAAAGGTATACTGAGACCAAAATGTTTGAGAACCACTGTAATAAACATAAAAGATAAAAATAAAAGATGGCAAGTGCAATGAAGCAGTGGGTCTCACTCTCCCTCACCAAAGGCCTGGTTGAAGAGCCAGATCTTCACAGTTCTTCTAAACAACAGCAGGGGTGGGGGGCATCCAGATCTCAGGGGGAACCTCGTTCCAGAGGGCAGGCGCTGCTACAGAGAAGGCATGCTTCTGGGGTCTGTATAGATGACATTGTTTAATCAAAGAAACCCAGAGCATGCCAATTCTGCAAGATTGAATTGGCCAAGCAGATGTTATGGGAGACTGGCAGTTTTCAACAGCAGACTTTTGTTGATGGCATTCTAATTTGAGACTTTTGAGAAAAAGAGAGAAATCTTAGCTTTTTTTTTTTTAAAACACCAGCTATACTGCCTACCTTATAAAGTCAATGAACCCTTGGCCATTCATTAGACTTCAGTTAGAAACTGTTGCTTCAGTGTGTTGAGCATTAATTCCCCAGTAGGTGGAAACCAAAACTCAGAATTCCTGAGTTTCTTGAGTGGAATCAAGGCTGAGGCACTAAGCGGATGCTTCGGGCTATGAACTGTTCTGCACATGTGTTTAGCTGAAAGAGACAGTTCTAAGGGGATTGCTTGCATTATGAATTGAAATAATTTGCCAGTAATAGCCTACCCTTCCTAGTTATTTAACCATCTGTAAATGCTGGCCACGTTTTGCATGATCTTTTGCCTTTTTGCACAGTTACATATAACTGGGGTACATGCTTTTTGTATTTTATAAGCTTCCTTGAGCAACTCCTTTTTAGAGAGGCACCTCCTCCCCATAAACATTATAGTATTGAATAAAAAGCAATAACTCATACGCTTTAACCATACTCCTTCTTGAATCCTTATCTAGTAAATTCTTCAAAATCTATCCTAGCATCAAGTTCAGCACCTTAATAAAAAGAGAGTAACTGACTGCTAGCAGTAGACTAGTAATCAGTGAGTTTATGAGTGAGAACCTGTTTCGAGTTCTGTGACGTGGCTACTGTAATGACAGCTGTTGGTTTAAAAATTGCTTTAGCAATCTTTCAAGTTCAGGAGACTTTCATCTATATGGTATATACATTAAAATAAATGGTTTCATTATTTATTGTGGCAAAATCAGGTTATTTTATATACACTAATAAAATTATAGTGGCATAAACTGCAAAAAGTTTATTCCAGAATAAATTCAATCCCTAGCTTGTGTTTTTGTTCAAGTAATTGAAATGGCATGATTGAAGTAACCAATATAATTTAATTCTGTTGATTCCTGCTGTAAGGATAACTTGAAAATATAGTTGATATTTCTAATCTTATCACTAGTTGTTGAATTTGGAAATGTTAGGATTTTGTACCATGATGTTAATTAATATTTTGACTGCTTGGTTTATTAATGTGAACCCAACTCCAGTGTTCTAGAACTGCTGGTTTCACACTAGAAGGTAACTTGCTTTCTGCTATCAAAAGACCTTTTTGACACACTGCATCTAAGTGAGGTCTATGGTTACTAGTTAGGCAAAGCTAAATAATATTCATTGCCAAATCGGGTAGGGGAACAGGTATAATAATTTGGTGTATAGCTTTAGGATTCTGGTATCCAAAGCTGCATCCTGGTTCTACCTTGAAAGTAGAACTGAATTGATGTTGAGTTTGTAAAGATGAAACTATAACTTTGTTATTATTATTTTTTTTTAGCCAGAAAATCTTGCCCAGAAACTTCCAAATCTTGTGGAACTGTAAGTGTACAGTATTATTTTTGTGGTTGTTAGTAATTATGCTGAGGTTTTTAAAAATGGCTTGAGTTATAGGAAAATATCTTAAGGGGATACAAACAGTATATTATGAGCTCTTTTTTCCTCAGTTTTACTGAAGACCTGATCTACTCAAGTTTTTAATGACCTAATTTTGTTCCTATACTGCCATTCCCCATGTCGCAGGGTGATGTTGGTGAACCTGTATATATTATCATGTGAAAGAAGAGCTAGGAAACACCATCATGCTAAATTTTTGCTGAGTGACTACATTTTATCTGCAGCAGCTTGATTATTTACTGAGGGAACTTATGAGTATAAAGTATATTGTTATACTTTCTAACAATAATACAGTTTGTAACAATAATATTCTTATCCATTATAAGGATTTAAAGTGGCATTTTACTTTGTAATAGTGTGTACTATCCCTCTTAGAATATTGTATTCTAATACGTTTTATAAGTATTCCATCATTATCTTGATAGGAGTTTCTGTGAACATGAATGTGAGTTCTTGTGCATTGGTTAAGAAACTTCTATCTAGTATGGAGCAGCATAGTTCTGTTTTTTGTATCTGACAATATGTTTCATCAGCAATGGAAATGTTGTTTGGGCACATGTATGTGGACAAGAGAAAGCCCTCCTTAGCAATTGTGCCAAAACTTTCTGGAGGACATGGTTACTTCAGCCATTAAGAGAAGGATGCTTCATTTCCAAAATGGTTCTTTGAAAGGTTTGCATTGTCCTTATCACTGGAATAGTTTTCAGCTACAGTGTCATGGCAGCAGTTCCCGTAAACCTTAGTAGCTTGAAATAACTAGAGAAGAACATCTATAACCAGGTCATATTTTATATCCTTTCCATAGTCATAGGATGTGAGCTAAATTATTTTTGCATCTTATATAGGGGCACTCTGGTCTATGCAGGCTGATCCAATATAACTAAAAAATGTAGTCTAAACTTCCACTTAAATCATCATCATCATGATCATCATAGCAGCAGCCCATGGTGAACTGTAACTTATTTATAATTTGAGTGTCTGCAGTGCAGTTAATAATTTTCGAAGGTCATTGCAGTCTGTAGCTTACTTAAGAAATAATCTTGCCTCATCTTATCTAGTGGGAATTCTGTTCTAATGAACTTGAAGTACAGCTTTCATGACAAGTTGCACGCTTTTGGCATCATGCAGTTTAAAAGATAATCTGATTAGGCCGTAAGAATCTTCTGAAGTTAATATTTGGAAGAGGGTTATTTCCAGAAGCTCTGAAAATCAGCGAGCTTGTTGACTAGATATTACATTTTCTTGTCTGAAGTATGTCCTTTTCCTGTCTAATTTACTCAATTAAGATGGTTGGAATCTCAGTGCAGAATATATTTTAATCTTGTTAATGTTTATTAGATTGTAAAACCTAAGTTGAACAGTAGAACAAAACCTAAGGAAGCTGCTAACAAGATAGATTTCTTCTAGCTGTGCCTAGGCGTTATGGTGGAGTCACAGATTTCAATCCATCGCCTCAACTTTCTTTTGGAGATTTGTTGAGAAATTGTTTCCCAGTTATAGTTAACTAAGCCTTAAAGACCATGGCATTGAAACCTTTTTCAACATGGAAACACTAATATAGCTGTCCATATTTGAGTGGCAATTTTTCCTACTTTTAAATGTTGGATAACAATATTGACCACTTAACATGCTTAATTACAGTGGGGCAAAAAAGTATTTAGTCAGCCACCAATTGTGCAAGTTCTCC